CCTCCCTCTTCCCCAGAACTGCAAAATCAAGCAGCTGGTGAGGGAGGGGCTTAATCTTTACTAAGGACACAACCAACTAATCAAGGGTCAGACTGACAGTGCTGCTGTATTCACGTGCCACTAGGCAGCTCTGGTGGCCTAGTGGTAAGAAACTAGGCTGAAATCCCAAAGATATGCAGTTCAAATCCACCAGCTACTCTGTGGGAGAAGGATGGGCAATCTTCTTCAGGTGTATTTACTGGCTCTGAAAACCCACTGGAGGGTCATGTATGAGTTAGTTGGAACTTAACAACAACATCATACACAGCATGAAATCCCAGCCCCTTCCTCCTAGTTCTAAAACCCTGAAAGCTTTCCTGGGCAAGTGACCAGGCTGACCACCCAGCCTAACCACTGGACTCAGAAATGTTCGAGTGGGTTTCAGAGCAATCAGATTCAGCTGTTGACGGCCAGGGGGCAGCAGAGGCCGCCTCCCGCAGCTGGGTGGCAGGAGTGGGGGGCAGGGGGTGGGGTGGGGGGGTGGGCGGAGGCGATTAGGTTGCTGGCTAATCCTGTCCTGGTGCTGCTGTGAGCCGCCCTGCCTGTTCGCAGCCTTGTGTGGTTGTGAAAGCAATTTTGTTCCTTCCGATTTTTTCCAGGGCCCTTCTGCTACTTTTTCTTTCTTAGCAACTCTCAGTCAATTATTACTGCTCCAAGTTGTTTGAAAGAAAGTCAGTTGCTGGATGATTTTACACTGGGGGGAGAGGGGCCGTCAAGACAGAAGCTTGGATTTCCTTCCCCCATGTATTCCTTACTGCCCTGGCGGGATCCTGGACACACAATGTCCCTGGCCACTAGCACTTAGACTAGTCCGGGGACACGCCCCACACCTCCCGATGCCCAGCCCTACTGTCTGTCCAATGTCTGTCTACTGTCTTCCAGCTGACTTCCTCAGGGTCCTGAGCTCAGAAATTCTTAGTCCACCTCCAGGGCACCATTTCACAGGCTTCTTCAAATCTCTCAACCTCTCTTAGCCTCTTCAGTCCACCTTTAAAAAGCCAGCCGGCCATTATCATGCTCTTTCCACCCTCACCTCATACAAGTTCCCTACGCTTCTTCTTTGCAGTTCCAGCTTTCTTTCGGGGTCACTATTCTGTCCAGCCCACTCAAGCTTGGCCGTCTGTTTTAGACTGAGCTGGGTCCTGCAAAGAGCCACGCTGAAATCTGCTCCGGCACCTGCAGATGTGGCCCTGTTTGGTAAGAAGGCTTTTCTTGTGCTAAGGAGGTCTTACTGGTAGAGGGTGGATCTTAAATCTAATCCTTCCTGAGTGATGTCTTAGAAAAAGAGAAAATAGAGGTGAAGAGTCACACACACAGGGGCGGAGACCATGTGAGGATTTGTCTACAAGTCAAAGAATGCCAAGAAATACTCTGGACTGCTGGAAGCTGCCAGAGGAAAGGAATGATTTTTCCTAGAACAGACACCTTGCTTTCAGAACGCTTAACCCTCAAAACTGTGAGACAATGAATTTTTGTTTGGAAAGCCACTTCTTGTGCTATTTTGTTGTTGTTATGCCAATCCTCAGTCACTAGGAAATCCTCCGCTTTGGAATACCCTGGTGAAGGTTCCTAAGTGATCAGCATTATCACCATGTCCAGCAGTCTGTCCTCCAACCCTCACTTCCTCTGTTCTGTCTCATGTTTGCTCTCGGCTCCCAGGTGCTCAGATTCTCCAGGTTTCCTCACCTTCGCGCTGTACCTGCTCAGCTGCTTCGCCGATTTGGCCTTATCACTGCCATCTCCTATGTTCTAGGACTCGGTCCTGACTCGTGCCCCCCTCTGTCTAAACTCATCTTCCCCAGGTTCATGGCTTTAAATGCTATCCACTCATTTTGCCTCCTCGCCCAAGTGTCTGGTACTGACTGGCTCTACCGAACTCCACAGTCACACTGCCTGTAGCCAAGTTGGCATTCTCTGTGGCTGTCCTGTCACCGTCTCACATGCTTCAAAACTGATACGAGCCTGTACCTCCCCACTCTCACCCCCACCTCCCCTAGGGGGTGCAGTGGCAACCCCATCCCTCTCATGGGTCAGATGAGACAGCCTTGGAACAACCCTTCTCTCCTCTCTGCCCTCCTCAAACCATTCAGAAAAGCTGCTTGTTGCCTCCTCTTCTAAACAAGCCTCTTATCTCATCCCACCACCTATATTGAACCACCCTGCTAAGTCTGTCCTCACTGAATGCAGGAGCCCCCTCTGGCACCCTTGGTCCCCCCCCCACTTTCTCATCCCAGAGTCTCTGTATGCAGCGGCCCAAACCACCCCTTGTGCTCCTCTGTTCAAGACCTGGCATTGGTACTCAACCCACAGCAAAAATACGTCCTGGAAACTGACAAGGCCCCGCAACATCGGCCCTCTACTACCTCCCACCTGCTCCTTCCATCTTCTCCTGCCTCCCTTGGCCTCCTGGCCCCCTCCTTCACATTCAGGAGCATTTCATTGAGGGCTTAGCTCTGGTAGATCCCTGGAAGTGCCCTTGCGAGTAGTTACCCAGCAGCTGCTGGCTGCTTCCCTCAACTTCTCATCAAACATCCCTTTTTTAACAGCAAAGTCGACCCTGACCTCTCCTCTCCCCAGCCTTCATGTTCCCTAACCCCTTTAACTCCCCCTTCTTGTCTCCAATGCACTGAGCATCTTCTAACAAATGTTCTAACACAGTTATTAGGTTTCATGTTTCCAGTCTGACTCATCCACCTAGAATACAAATCCAAGCGAGGCCAGCGTCTGTGGTTTGCTCACCATTCTATTTACAGCTGCAAGAGGACTGCCTGGCGCACAGGAATTCAGTAAATACTTGTCGAATGAATAAAAAGTGAATCCCTTTTTGGTTGAAAGCATCCATGGGTGAGGAGGATGCAGACTCCTGGTAAGATCAAAGCCTGTGCTTCTGCCCCTGGTCTCGGCCTATATTGTTTTCTTTTTCTATAACAAACATTCACAAGAGAAAAAACAATGAAAGGGGATATAGGAGACTTTTCTGGCGGACCTTCCAGCCGCTCTTAGTTGTTACTATTCCAAACAGAGCAGATTTTTTTTTAAGAAGAAAAGAGAGAAAAAAAAAAGAGCTTGGAAATTCTTCAAAACATACCAAAAAATGCTTAATGACCCTAAACCAAAAACATCCCCTGAAGGCATCTTAAAGCCAAACAATAGTCAAGCTTCACTAGATTACTAAAGCAGGGCTGCCTTGAACAGTGTACTCTCATCAAGATTTATCTATATGGGACCAGATTGATAAACAGCAACTCAGAAGGTGAGATTAGCATTTTAAGGGTGTTGAATCCATGTAATTGGGGGAGGAACAACTCGGGAAATAGGGTGAGGATGGCTGTATCTGGAAGAATGTAATCAGTCTTACTGGATTGTCAAATGATGTGTATGTGTGATAGATATTCTCACACGAGGTGGTGTTGCTGGGGCCTAATGCTCGCACATGACAGAAGTATTCTTACACGAGGTGGTGTAGATATTCTCAACAACAACAAAATGCTTAAGGATGCCCAAGGGCCTCAGACGCATCCTCATGGATATCAAGTGGCTGGAGTCTGATGCCTAGGGATAAAGGACAATCTTCAACCAAATGGTCATGTGGTTACATGGCTTTTTAGACTCAGTGTATCTAATACTTTTCCTGTCTCCTGTCCTCATCCCCAGAGTCGGCTACCTACCAGTGCAGCCGGAGGAGGCCAGGCTGGGCAAGCAGTTGGGGCCTCTCAGGACCAGGGGGCCTAGGAGGGAGAGTCAGCACATTCTTTGGTCGCAGGGGTCCAAGGCAAGCCCGACATCCCCACAGACTTCAGGCGGCCTTGTTGCTGTACTAACTTACAACCATCTCTGGATGGAGTGAGTTCTAAAGATGACCCCAGAGTCTGCGTTGGGACGAAGCCTGTCATTTACTGCCCGCTACCACTAACACCAACAGTCTCAAAAAGGGTTACGACTCCATCTTTTGGGGAAAAGCCAGAGAACTTCAGAGGGCAACCCCTCGTGCCAGGGCACTCTGGGCCACAGCCACCTCTAGGCCAATGTCCAGGCTCTTTCCTGGGGCCACAGGGCTGCTCTGTTAGTCTCCAGGCTGGAGTCAGGTGCCTGGAGCTGATGGGAGCAGGACTCAGGAAGCCCCCCTCTGTTCAGCTGGCACTGCCGGGGGCCTACCAGTCACCGGCTTGAGGAAGTTCTTTCTTCAGGGGTGTCCAGAGCTGGCAGGAGCCTTGCAAGCTCAAACTGGATTTTTCCTGCTGTCCTTTTGCTGGCGGCCTAGCCGAGTGCAGGGTCTCTCCTAATGAGGATTTGGTGCCAGGGCCCAGGCAATTCCATCCCACTGAGTCCCAGCTGGTTCAGGCCCGCTGGAGGCAGTGGGCGGCCTCCCAGTCCCTCCAGGCCCCGGGCACCTGAGACTGCCTGCCTCCCTGCAGCCCCGACCCTGCCCCAGGCGCTCCTCTCCCGACTCTGCTCACACACTGGGACTTACGAACCCACCTTTATTCACAGTGGATTTTACTATTAATAAAAAGATCAGCCCAACAGGGCCCAGGATCCCTGGATTTTTGTCCCCAGATTTGGGGATTTGACAGAGGATTGACACGACAGCATGGGAATCAGGGGAGGGGAAGGTGGAGGGCCCTTCCTGGGGCTTCTGTGGCTCAGCTGCCCCCAGTTCAGACGCCCCTGGAGCTGCTGGGGATGCTCCTCACGTTGCCTCCTTCCGGAGGCCTCTCTCTGTCCCACTTCCTGGGGCCTCATTAATTCCTCCCCACCTCACCCCGTGAGAAAGCAGGTCTGTGCTGAGCCTGGCTGGGGCCCAGAGCTGGGGATGAGCACTGATGGCTGGTTTGGGAGGCAGGGGATGGGGTGGGGTGGGTGATCGTCACCCCAACCCCAGGGAAGGGGGCAAAGGGACTTTCATTACATCCTGGCCTCCACCCTACCTTCCAGGGACCCCAGAAGTCATAAAGCCTAAGAATATAAAACACAGCTGGACTTAAGTATAATATTTATAAAAGAGGCTGCCAGCCTCCCCACGCTAGCCCCAGGCTGGCCCCTGGGATATTTAGATTCCCAGGTGGAGGGACATTCTGAGTGCCCGACTTCCCTTCTCCCAATAATGGAATGTGAGCTGTGGCCCAGGCCTGGGCTGGGGTGGGGTGGGAGTGGGGGGAGTCCCAGCCTCCCCGGGGCTGGTGAAGGTAAAGGGCAGAGGTCCCTTGGGGGGTCCACACTACGTCCACCCTCAACAGCAGCTGCTGGTTCCAGATGTGGTGCAGAGGGTCTCCTCCTGGTACAAATGGGAGGAGGGAACACAGGTGTTCAAGGGCCCAGACTAAGGCCTCAAAGAGGCCAGGGGAACAGAAAGAGGGAAGGCAAGTCGGTCAGGGGGTAGGAGATGAGACCCCCCAGGGCACAGACCCTGGCCCCAGTGGCAGAGTAAGGGGTGGCAGCAGAATTAGGTTCCAGCCTGGGTGCCCCTCCAGGCTGTGTGAACTCAAGAGGCAGCTGCCTGTCCTTAGTGCATGCATCTGCACCAGAGGCGATGACAAGAAGGGGCAAGGGGTGCAGCCCCACCTCTGTCCCCAGCTAGGGAAGCCCCTGTATCTGGAATCCAGCATGGTGGTGGCCCAGAGGCCTTGGTCCTGGCTCTTTAACACAAGAACTTCTACAGCGAGGATACGAAGGCAGGGCTGAGGTGTTAACCTCAACCTGCTCCTGCTTTGCGACTGGATAGGAGCAAGGGCTGGACAGTTTGGGCAGGGGTTCTAGGACGAGCAGGCAGGGCAGGACGGGGGCACTCCTAGTGGTGTCCTCCATGCTGGTTGGTCCCTGAGACCCAGTCATTGACGATGAAGCTCAAGCTCATGACCATCATCAAGAGACCGAGCATGGCGAAGCAAAGGGCCTGGGGGTCAGAAGTCAGTGTCAGATCTGAGGTCCGAGTAGACCCCCGTGCCCCACACCAGCCCACCAACCTCCAGGCCCCTCGCACCAGGATTTTCGGGGTGGACTTTGCAGGCTCCTTCTCAGTGGGCACGATGCGGAAGTAGAAAATGGCAGGGAAGATGAATATGAGGCATGGGGCAGATGTGGCACCTGCCAAGAACAAAGTTTGTGGCTGAATCCTTCAATGAAATCCTGTATCTCTATTAGAGGAGTCTAACCACGTCTCAGAGCAGAGGCGAATGGTCCCTAGTGCTCCTTGATTTTAAGGAATCCACCATCCTCTCCCCTAGTGCTCTGTCCTCCATGATTAAAGGCTAATGCTGTTGGTGTTAACAGGACCTGTCAGCAAGTGGAGTTCAAAGACCAAAGAAGAATGTCAGGTCAAAAGAGATGGAGAGATGCAGGGCCTGGAGGATACTGTATGGATTTCTGGATATATGCCTGACATATTTTTTCATTATTTAAATCAATATATTCTTTCTTACTTAATTAATTTTGAGTTGGGTTTTGGACACACAGAACCAAGAGTGTGGGTCATGACTTCTAGGATCCTTAGCTCCAGGTGTGTGCATCAGGCCCTGCATTTTCCATCTTAGAACCCCATCTGAGATGGTGCAATGATTGGAACACTAAACCTGGAGTCCGCTGGTCCTGAGTATCAAGGCTGTCCCACTCACTAGTTATGTGACCATGCCGTTCCCTTAATGACCCTGAGATTCAGTCTCCCCATATGTGAAATGAGAGCAAGATCAAATGAGATCCTGTGTGGAGGGCCCTGGTCCTAGAACATCTCTTCCTCATCTCCTAAATGGAGCCGTGGCTCGGTGGTTCTGAGCCCTGAAGGGAATCAGACTAACATAGAGAGGTGGTCAAGTTGTACATACAGCCAACAGCCATCCTGTAAATATAGGGACTGAGCTCAGGAACCAGCCAGGATTCACAGAAGGGAAATTCTCTGAGGAACTACCCTCCCTCCATGGACAGCAAGGCCAGACTCTCACCGATGACCCCAAAGATTCCCAAGATGTTGGGGGCAAAGATGACCAGCAGGTTGATACAAGTGAGTAGGATGATGGCGATGAGCACATGTCGCAGCCAGCTGAACTCCTGGTTCGGAAACAGCATCTGCTGGATGGCTCGGCGCACCTGAGGGCGAGTGGTGGAGAACCGTCAGCCCCTCAGTCCCATCAGAACCCCCCCTTCCTTGGACTGGGGCTCTGCCCGCTGGCTCACCGGGAACAGAACAATTGGCACTGTGAGGGTGACAGCCGTCAGCACGGCCACGCGGACACACAGGATCAGCACATCAAACGGGTCCACCTTGTTGTAGGTGTGCAGCAGCTCCGACTCCACCCCGTCTGCGGCAGGCAGGGAAGGTGGTCAGGAGGTAGCTCACTGAGGGGGCTGGGCCCCATGCCCCCCACACGCTCACCTCCACAACCGTCAGGTATCACGCACCTAATGAGCGCCTAGAGTACGCGGGGTGCCATGCCACTGACCACTGCCTTGTCCCCCCAGCCTGACCTCTGCTCCACGGGCCCAGTCATACCGTAGAAGGTGAGGTAGCCAAAGAGGGCAGCCAGGAAGTACATGATGTACATGACAGCGATGGACAGGTTGGAGATGTGCTGCATCTTACTCTTGGTGGGGCTAGGGGGCAACAGAGGAGGGAGGGTTGGAGCCAGCTAAGCCACACTGGGAGACCCTAACATGCTCTGGGGTCTCTACGGCACCATATGGTCACAATGCCTCCTTCAGGCTCCCACCCTCTCCCCATGGCAGTCAGCAAGGTCTCTGATAGGGCAACTTGGCTCCGTCACTGTTCTTCCCCCTTGGATGTGAGACCACATCCATTCTTTGCCCTGGAGCTTGAGGCTGCCCCCGCCCTGTCTCCCAGCCATGAACACCTACTCCTTGAGCTCTGTGTAGATGGGCAGCACCTCAGGGTGGCAGACGAAGGCAAAGGCCATGATAGGGATGGTGTACGCCGTCTGGGGAGACATGGGGACTGTGTTAGCATGCCCCCCATACCCTTGCTGGGGTCCCTGTCCCCACCCTGACCTGTCCGTACCTGCCTGTTGAGTGTGAAGTAGCTTGGGGCGCAGAAAGCTGCAGCCTCGGCCTCAACCTGAAGCTGTGTCTCCTCTTTGATGACCGCCACATGGCTGAAGTTGCTTGTGGCATTGGCAAAGTTCAGAGGCAGAGGGCAGGGCACATGGAACTTTTTATAGATGACCTAGGAGAGGATGAGGTTATCAGGGCCAGGCTAGGCTACCTGGGAAGTCACCACAGGGTCACAACTAGATCAGAAATGGAGGCACTGTCCCCTGACCTAGGCTCCCCTGGGAACCCTGCCCCATCCCTCTGACAGGACTTCCCTGGGACACCTGCCCCATCCTTAGCCGGCGGGGAGAGTGACTCACTGCAATTAGGAAGAACACCATGCAGCTGAGAGAGAAGCCACTCGAGTAACCGAGGTATCCTACAAGGTGGAGGAGGGCTGTGAGACTGGGAAGCCCTCTGGAGCTCCTGCTACAATCCTTGAAAGCCCTCGACCCAGACACACCACTCACCAAGCTGCCGCATCAACGCCAGGGGCAGAATGATGACAACAGAGACCAGGATTACCAGGTAGTTTCCATTTACATACCAGTCCCTGTGGGGATGGGAGTGGAAGGGAGCCAGGGTCAAGGCCCAGGGCAGGGCTGCCTGCCCACTAGTCAGGGTCACTAATAATGCCACAGCGTGACCGCTAAAGAATGTTCCTCCTTAGTGCCCCTTTCCTCACTGCAGAATGGGCATTGTCTTTGTGGTGAAATGGACTGAGGTACCATCATTATATTGTTTCACAGGCCACATAACACGGGCTCAGCCTAGAGAGAGGTCTCAAGGACTGAGAGAGGTGGGTAGCAGGGCAAAGGGAGCTGACTCTAGAAAGGGCACTTTCAAGAGGATCTCAGAGATTTGCCAGCCTTGTGGTCCTTCTTGGCCTCTGCATCTTGCATTTCCCTGTCCTGTCTGAGAACAGGCATGGGACACAGAGATCAAGGGTGGCCACCTTTTTGGAAAAGGCTCCCAGAACCCGGGAGGCAACATCCAGGTCCATTTTCCTTCTCCCAGAGCCACCCTCATCCTCAGGGCCCCTGTGCTTGCCCACGCGAGGCTGCCAAGGGCAGAGCTGTGCCTCCATCTCCTCTGTGCTTCCTACCCACAAATGTGGTAGGTACCCAGGCAGGACTGTCAAACTGATGGGCAACTGGGACACTCTGGGCTTAAGCTCTCAGCATAGTGGGGCGGAGGGGGGCAGCTAACCCAAGCCATGGTCAGGAATAGCAGCTGCTTAGAGCTAAGCCTGGAGTCGCTCACCCCCACTGGTGATCTCTGGCTGGGGCCAGGGCTGGGAAGGCAGCTTCCTTAACACTCTCCTCGTCCCAGCCCCCTATTTCCCCTCCTGGCCAGTGGATGGAAGTCGAGGGGTCCCTCACCCAGTCCCTCCCCACCCTGGGGCTCACGAGGTTTTCTCCTCCAGGTTCAGGAAGGCCTGGATGACAAGGGGCAGCTCAGACTTGATGATGTATAGGTAGCTGGACATGGCTGCAGGGAGAGGAGTGAGCCGGCCCTGGCATTAGACCCCAGCAGCTTTCATTCCTCTCCACCCACCCACCCACCCACCCACCACCACCTGGTGGCCTCACCTCCAATGTTCTGCAGCGTGATGGCCAGGGCTGCAGCAAGCTTCCCTGGAGTCCCGAATGCACGGTAGCCCAGCTGCTCGTAGGCACGGATGCCTGTGTGTGAAAGGGGTTAGGACAGCCACGGGCACACCCCAGTAGCACACCCCCTGCTGAAGTTCTGGTTTGAGGCTTACCTACAATCCCTGAGGACTTGAGCAGCAGATGAATGGAGTAACTGGACAGCACGGCAACAGCCGTCAACAGAAACCTGAGGAGTTGGACAAGAGGCCGCTGGGACTTTTTTGGCTGGCCAGGACATGGGCTCTGGGCAACGTGAGTGTGTAGACCCCAGATGTCCAGACCCCGAATTGGTACAGTGTAACCAGCAGGCCCCAGCGATGCTGGGCAGTACTCTGTATGGCCCAGGGTGGGACATGACCCTGGAGGGGCCCTCTGAGCACCTCTTTTCCTCAAATCCTTGGGATAAATGGTTTTCATTCAGGCTGCTTGCTGGGCAAGGCCCCCAGGTGAATGTCACATGTATGAACATGAGGCCCAGCCATGGGGATTTGGCCATCACATGTGGTCATCGTGGAAGGACAGCCTCAGGTCTGTCAGGCTGGCCCCACACGGTGTGACCTCACAGGGTTTATGCGGCTCCGCAGTGAGGTGTATTTGTCCGCCCTTGGCTGTTTGCTCTGGCTGTGGTTTGGTGTGCCCACCCGCTGCAGCCTGGGCCCAGGGGTGAGGAGGTGGCAGGTCTTGGGAGGTCATGGTTTAACAGCTTGCTGAGGGCTCTCAGCCCTCAAGCCTATCTTCCAGAAGGTTCTCTGAGGGCACTTACAGGAAAAGGATGATGCCCGTATTGGCCATGGCGTAGGCGAGCCCCAGGATACCACTGCCCATGATGGCATTGCTGAGGTTGAACACTGACATCCCGAATGATGTCTTCCCCTCGAACTGCAGGACAGGGAATGGTAGAGGGGTCAGCATGCCCCTTCAATGTCCCTGGGCTTCCCATCACCCATACTCCCAGAACTGTCCCAAGCCCCCCACTGCTGCCCCAGCTCACGTCGGTGAAATGCGGCTCCTTGCCGGGGCTTTTCTGCAGGAAGTCCTCGCCCTCCACACAGTTCTGTCTGGGGCCCTCGGCTCTGTGGACACAAGCACAGCAAGTGACTCAGCTTCTGTCCCTTGCTCGGTATTCCTGGCCTGCTCGGTCCCGAGTCAGGGCCTGTCTCTGCTCACCTCTGGTTGTCTACCGTTGGGATGGCGACTGGGTGCAGGCCCTCCAAATGTTTGCCATTGGGCACCAGCTCCACCATCTCTGTCTGCAGAGGCACCTCCATAGCTCAGCTTCCACCACCAGGAGCTCCCACTGCAGTCACAAATCTGCAGAATAAATGGTTCCTCTGGTCACTCCCCGGCTGGTACCCATGGCTTAAGCCTTCTACTCAGAGCCTGAAGCCATGGCCATCCGCCCTGAGGTCACTCTCATGTGTACCCATGTGACACCCTACTGCCACCCTGGGACCTGATTCAGGAGGCTGATACCTGAATCTCTCAGGCTCTCCTGAGGCAGGACACCCCAGCCAGTACGTGACCCTTCTCCCCAAATACACATCAGCCCTGGCCAGTCTTTGGGCTTCAGTATTCCCATCTGTGAAGTGAGTACCAGTTGGATGACCTGAGCCCAGAGCTTGGTGGTACCAGGACCTCCAGATACCAAGTCATAGGCCCTAAGACCCCACTCTAGAGGTGAGCCCTGGGCCAACTCCCCCTCCTTGATGTTAATACTGGGAGATGGTTTCCTGCGCTGGTCTTGCATGCCAACGGCCTCCTGGCCAGCCTAGAATGGCACTGCCCGACGGCTGGACACTTTGGGACAGGGTGAGGGCTGTGGGCCCTGTTCCCAGCCGCCCGGCGGGCACTGTTGGCAGTCAGAACAAAGGGCCTTCTGTGGGCTGAGAGCTGGAGCTGGGAACGGCAGGCGCAGAGGCTAACCCCCCGAAGCCAGGAGGCCTGAGGCAGTGCTGGGTGGCTGGACACCTGGGCCCTTCCCGCCTAGCTGTGCGGGGCCCTTGGTGGGCCTTCCAGGAAAAGGGTGTTCCAGGGCTCAGTCCCCTGGACCACCCAGTACTTACTCTTTGCATGGCCCTGGCCTCAGGGTCACGCTATCATTCCAGGCACTCCTCCCTTGCCAGGCGGACTCCCACCCCCAGGTGCCACCCTCCCAGAGTGGACCCTTGAAGCAAATCCCCATTTCCTGGAGCCCCAGCCAGCATCTCAGAATGTCAGCCAGCTGGAGAGGGGACTAGATCACTGGACCAGGCCCCCTTTCCTTTCTGTCCCCGGGCTTGGCTCTGCTGAACCTTGAAGGAATCAGCTGCCCCCAACTACCCCTCAGCCCAGACAACTCACTGGCCCCTCTCCCATCACTAGGGCTTTGTGCCACCTGCCCCATGCCCAGAAGGTGCCTGGGCAAAATGCCCCTAGGCTCTGTGAGGACATCCTGGAGACCAAACCTGCCAGCGGGAGTGCCGAGGCCAGATAGAGACCAGAGAGAGATGGGGCCCCTTCTGCTTGAGAAACTCCAATCTCCATCCTGACCCCAGGCTTTGAGAGTCTCAGGTCTGTTCTTGAATCTGACTTACATTTAGGGTAGGGGTATGACGGAGGGCCGCACAGAGCTGACCAGAGCCACAGCCATCACTAACCAGAGATAGTGGTCCACAGGCTCGGCCCCAAGTCAGATTTCAGAACTCAAGCACCTTACCTGGACTGGTGGACCCTTTTTATATGCTCTCCTCTGATACTTGTGCCTGAGTCCTCCTCTCCTACTGCCCACCTGGCCCCCTACTCAGAATCACGATAATGGGAACATTTCCTTGTCAGCTCTTATCTTCTAGACCAGGGCTCCTCGAGTCAGCCTAGTCTCAAAGCTCTGCCATAATTAGCACCCCTCCAAGCACCCCACCTGGGTCCCCACCATCAGGCTGGCACTTAGTTGGGGCTAGACAGGCTGGGACAGGCCCTCGGAGTTTGCTGAGTCGGCAGCCTGGACAAAGCACCCTTCTCTGCCTTAATATCCTTCCCTAGCAGCCACTGCCTCCAGGGAGACCACAGCCCACAGCATGGGCCACTGGGAGGTGCCTGACGTTCTGGCTCCAGGTTCCCCAGCCCCCAGCAGGACCCGGGTTTAAACTTTTGGGACCTGGCGGCTATAACTCACATCCAGTCACCGCTGGGTCTCTGGGTGGCCTGGAATCTCAGAGACGCCAAGGTGTACCCCTCCTCCAGTGGCCTCCTGTCTGAAAGGGACACACAGAGACCCTAAACACACCTTTCCCTCTATAGCTTCTGTTGCAACTGTATGTGGGCCACACATAGTGCTATGACCCAGTGATAAAGGGAAAGAAAAGAGTCAAGGGGGGTTTCCTGGAGGAAGTGTGATGATGGTGACAGCCCTGAAATTCCAGTTGGAGCCCTGAGGTGTAGAAATGCAGACAGAGTGCTCCAGGTGGAGGGCACAGCCTGGATAAAGGCCGCATGGCACAGTGTAAAAACTGACGCAGGCAGGGAGGGTGAAAGGAGTTCTGTCGAGGGTCACATAGACAGACCTGACAGGGCTGCAAAGGTCAGGTTAGGGAGCCTGACGTCAGCGTAGGAAAGAGCTGCGGGGGGCCATGTTGGGAGTCAGCTCTAGCCTAGCATGCAGGCCTCGGTCATTTTCAGACTGTCAGTCCATCATCAACCAGTGGCTCAAGCCTGTGGCCTCCCAGACTCCTTTGCACCAGGGACTCAAGACCCCAGGGAGATTCCTGCATGAGGAAAACAGATCCTATCCACTGTAGGGAGAGCCCAGGGCGGACACACTGAGTCTGAGGCCCTGTCCAGCTCTATCTTGCTATGTGACTGTGACTGAACACTCCCCACACTGGACCTCAGTGTCCCCATCCCATGTGGATTTGTCTGAAGTGGGGGGTGAAGTGAGGAGCCTGCCTAAGACAGCCTTCACTTCCAGAACAGGCCAGAAGTGCCCAGAGAGGGGTCAGACACCAGGCCAGAGATCATGGTGACCTGGAGTGGGTCACCTGAATGGCATCTGTCACGGGAGCAACACGGGCCCCAGCAGTAAATCGATGCACCAGGCCACTGCTCTGGGGCCTGTTTGCTCTGCTGAAAGATAAGAACCAGGAGGGAGTCAGGAGCCACTGCTGAGGATACAGCAGGTGATGCCCGCCCACGCAGACATCACAGGGTGCGAACTCATCAGGCACACCTTGGCAGGTGTTGGGCTGGGCTAATTAAAGATTCGGAGGCCCAGGAATCCAGGCCACTGCGGGCCAGCTGCTTATGTCAGTCGCTGGGGGAAGCACAGCTCTTGGTCTCAAGATTGAAGTCCTTAAACCCCCAGGGCTCTGAGCTGACCAGTGGCTTCCTCTCTGATGTCCAGGGACCTAACTGAGTCGGTAGCAGTGTGTTTGCCACAGGAAGGCCACTTTGTCTTTACCTCAGCCCTGTGGCCACACACACTAGTGGGGACACAATCTTACAGAATTTACTGCTCTGGCCCCAGGATCTCAGGGGAGGGGCAGCTGGTCTGGCTTGAGGGTCTGCTGCGCTTCCCTTTGGTATCTCAAGGGTAACCCCAATTCTAGCTCAGACTATCTTCACCATTTCCCTCTGTGACTGAGACAGGTTGCCCTGCTAGCCTGGCATTTGTCTAGACAGCTGCCCTCTGCTCACCTGCTTCCCCACATCTCAGAGGAAAAGCTCCCACCCTTAGGATGATGCAGAACTAGATCCAATCGACACACATTGTAATTGTGCATGTTAGAGGCACAGCGATAGGACTGGCAGAGAGCTGAGAGCTGAGGTGAGAATGTTGGGGTGTGCAGAACTGGGGACGGTACTTGAGATACTCTGCGCTTCTCCCTAGATGCACACATCCAGATTTTGACCCCAGGAGATGTTGGGGCCCCCTTATACATTACTCTCTCTTCATTAAGAACACTGAGAGGCTAGTCTGTGGCCTATACTGGTAGGGAGGGGCTGGCATGCAGGTGGGGCATAACCTAGGGAGAGGCATTTGGCCTGGAGCTTCGTGTCCTGGCCAGCTCCACCATCCTGCTCCTAGTCTTGTGATCTGGGGTCTGTGTCTCTGCGTCCTAGGCATCCGGAGGTATCTGGGAGGATCTGAGACGCCCACAGCTGGGGCCGGAAAATGGACTTTCCTGTGGCAGAGAGAATTTTCTAGACACCCCAGAGGTCTTGAGACTCAGGCCTACCGCTAGCCAGCTATGCTTCCTCTCTGAACCAGCCTTGCAGCCTCATTGCTCAGCTTACCCCCAGTTGAGGCTCCATCTGAACCTCTTGCCTTGAGACTGGGCCACAGCCAGCAGCAGCCCCCTTCCCCCAACCGCCAGCCAGCTGAGAGGGGCATGTGGACCAGGCCCAGCTGAGGCAAAGGACAGGACATCACGTGCCTGTGGCCCCCCAGGGGCAGGGGAGACCCCGAGCCAGCCAGCCCATCCTCTTCCCTGCTGATCCGGAATCCCCTGGAGGCAGCCAAATATTTGGACAGCCGGACTCCTGGCCCCAAAGAAAACTGGAGCAGGGGCCTAGGGCAGCTCAGGACTCATTGGAGACCCCCATGGCGGGGCTAAAGGCAAGGTCAGCCTGGAGGAAGGGCACTAGCCAAGTCAGGAAAGAGCAGAGAGGGACAGGGAAAGGGTAGGGAAATAAACACACACACACAACATACACACACACGTTCATGCCAACAGTATCAGAGAGAGAGACCAGAGAGAAAAAGAACACAGAGACACAAATCAGACGCAGGTGACTGTTGTTGTTGTTGTTAGATGCTGTTGAGTTAGCCATGACTTATAGCAATCCTTTGGAAGGTACATCGAAACTCAGGGAGATAGAGAGAGACAGGCTAGCAGAGAAACTGAGTGACATCAAGAGATAGCCAAGCAGTTAATATAGCCAGATGGGGAGAGACAGACAGCAAGTCAGGCTGAGTGATGACCATTGAAAAGGAGCGAGGCAATGAATGAATGGCAACCCCAGTTCTCTACAAACCTTCATTAAAATTTCAAAACCAAAAAATATGGAGAGAGGGTATCGGAAGACAGTATGCTTAGGGACACTGTGGGGATGGCCAGGCAAGACCTTATGGGACTTCCTAGATCTCCCCCAGTACCTCAGGTCCCCTCAAGGGCTGACTAACCTTCTACTGGCCAGGTATAGGAAACATCCACAAAATGGAGCTGAGTCTATGAGGATCACAAAAGGGTAGATCAAGCTAGAAAGTTCAGAGCTCCTGGCTTGTCTACCTCAT